AAACTTACACACAAAGATGCTCATAAAACACAAACTATTAAAAAAGAATTTTCTTTTTAAAGTGGCTGGTATTTTTAAATTTTTTTTTTTTAGGCAACAACTGAGCAAAAATGTCTTTCCCTTACATAATCATACACACATTTTTTAAAAGTGTTGTTATAAACAAATATTTTAGCCATATTGTTCCACTGATTTTGAAGCGCTAATTTCCACTGAAAATCATTCTCTTATCATTCTCTTATTTGTCCACACATACCTGTACTACAACCTTCTTAGCCATAGCAAGTAAAATTATACCCTTTAATTGTTCAACTGTAAGGAGTCAGTCAATCATTTCAATGCTGGTATTTAATTTTGTGTATTATAACAATGTGAATTAAATTACCTTCAACAAATTCCTCTTCTGACAAATCTCACAGGTAAGTTATGCTCTTGATCTAGTACACATAACAAGTCACTATTACGCCAGGGTACAACTATTATAGCTTCAAATTAAATTGACAAAATAAGGGCTACGTATTCAAAGTAAAATTCTACCATACCCATTAAGCATCCCCCACTACTATTCAAAGTAGCTACGGGCAAATACAAAGTACAGTAGATGATATTGCATCTGCACACAGAAAACCACAGAAATACAAACTCAGACATACTTGTTTATAACATTACGAGACAAATTTCAAACAAAATTGTACTGAGATAGGAATGATTGTTTATGAGGATTTTTAAGAGGCATGAATGTCCCAAACTCAGTGAAATCTCTGGGACTGCGGGGGCTCAGAATTTAGAAAAAACACGTACAGTATTTGCTGGATTCACAGCAGCATGTAAAAGATTAAGTGTCAGTATTTGCCTTACTACTTACGGCATGTGTTACAAAAACTGATACTACAGTATCTTTCAGTGTTAAGTTATGCTTCTCTCTTTTGTTAATGGTAAGAACAATGCATTTATATTGCCCACAGTTCTATAACTACTGTATGAAGCTGGCTAATTATCATTAACCTTAATACTGATCTGGTGTTGTTAATACTTGAGTATTTGGCATCCTGAATGTATTAGCCTGCTCTAGCATTTTCACTATGCAGCTTTTTTTGTGCTTATACTCTGTACATTTTACAATACTTGAATTTAAACTTAAGTTTTAATTGCTTTAAGGCACTTTAAACAGGGATACAAATTTACCAAAGTAAATGATAGTACTACAATAAAAGAAGTATTAAAATGAGTTTGCCCATGCATATTTTGTGACTTTTAATGTGTATGCCTTAAAAGAAGTAACAGAACTATAAAATAAAAGGTGTAGATAAGATCTGTAGCACTGCAACCACGTGTTTTCGAAACTCTCTACTACAATTAGAAATACACAAATTCCCTGACACAAAGCTGACTTCGCCTTGCAATACAACCTCCATATTATTTTAGAAGAAAAAAATTACTGTGCCTCCATAGTAAACATTGCCTGTGATACCAACTAACAAGAAAAAAAACGTTCACCTTATTCACATACGTTATTTCACCCATATCTACTGCTACTGCCATCTAATACTTGTAAATGTCTGAGGTAAAGACAAGTTTCATTGTCTCAGCCTACTCTCAAATTAACGTGTCCTTGTTACAAAGCCTATGAAACTGTTGCTAATTAAAACAACTGGATAACAGCCAACTATTGACAGCCCCCTGGTTAGGACGATACAGTATAAACAATCCTATTAAATCAGTAAAACTACTTATACTGTATATTAAACACTGTACACACGCAAAATCTTTCACTATCACAACATGGAAATTAGGCAAAAAGAAAAGCAAAAAAAAAAAAAACCATAAAACAAGGCAAGCAATACATTGCTGGCTTTGGAAACAATACAATGATTCAGAACTAGTAGCATGGCAAGTGAGTATCAGTAAATACACATGAACACCATACTAAATATTTCAGTAAGCTGTGCAAATTTAGAATTTACTGTTATCAACATTAAAGGCATTCTAACACTATCACCAAAACCAGGCTATTAATAAACCAGAGATGAATGCATGAAGCAGTCAAAACCAGGGGGAAGAACAAGTTATTTTTCACTTCTTAACAAGTATTTTCTCACCTTCTCTTTACAAATGTTCTGCCCAGGTGAAACTGGTAGACTAAACAGAGGTGTATTCGGCTGGCTGCCTGAGGAATCTTTTCAATTCTTACTTTCTTTTAATTATCAAATTGAAGTCACAGATTATTCTGCTGCACATCAGTAAATTTCCACTGTGGCCAAAGACAGCGCACCGTAAGCAGATGAGGGCAGAGTTCTTCTCTCATTACTTGTTCATAAAAATGTGCTTAATTAAGACCAAAAGCAACTGGGCCAGACAAACTGTAGGCATCAAGAAGAAATGGGCCTAACTTGCAGAAACCTGATATCATATTCAGTTAGTTTTAATTCTTTTCACCTTCTACCATCCTTTTGGGTTAGGTAGGTATCATCTGTTTGGCTTTCCTTCAGCTGCCACGTTCACCAGATCCGCCAAAAACCTCCTTTACAGGTGTCTAGGAATTTATCGTACTAGCCATATGACAGCATTCCAGTGCCAAACTTTAAGTTTTCATATTTAATTCAGTCCCTTTAACGGTTTTGCCTCTATAAGAGACTCCTATGCTGAATACTGAGGTCTGAAATTCTTCATCTCCCTCAGACACTTGAGAGACACATGGTGTAGTGTCTCATATTTGCAAGGTTTTCACCTCCGTGTGCGATACCTTCAACAACTTCTGCAAGAAATTGTTCAGTTCCACCGCTCCCAGTCTACTCTGTAATTCACAATCCGCTGCGACAGAGTTTTTGAGTTGGCCAGTCTGATGTAGCTCAAAGTGGTAGCCTACACAGATCTGTAACCTATGGCCGTACAACCAGCCCTCCCTCACGCCGCCATCTTCCCGGCTCTCCTCAGGCACAGCGAGCGCCGCCGGGCCGGGGGGCCACAGCTCCTCCAGACCCCCTTCGACGAGACGCCATTGCCAAACCACCCTTTACACAGCCAGCCGCCTCCCCAGCGCTGCCGGGACGCTTCCCCTGACTTTATCGCCTGCTTTTACGGGATTTATTCGGGCCCGGACACCGCACTGCGGCACCTTTCCGGGCGCCTCCCGAGCGCCTCAGGGCTCCCCCTGAGGAGAAAAAGGCGCCAAACGGCGGCGGGCGCGAGGCGCCGGGGCCGCCCCCGCCCTGAT